TGTGTGTGTGTGTGTGTTCATTCAGATTAAAAATACTGGATTAGGTTTAAAATACTTATGGTAATGTCATGTTAACCAATAAAATGAAAGCTAATGATTACAGACTGTAAGTTTAAGGGCGACCAATCTATTATCATATAGGTGAGAAATGCAAATATATCTTGGGTGTGAAAAAGTCCCCCATATATATATATATAATATATATATATAACACAGAGTTTAGACTCTAAATGAGTTCAGTGATTCCGATCAAGTAATGAATATGTTAAAACATAATCATCACCTTATGACTTTTGCTTTTGCCTTGTCTAGCCGTTATAACTCAGTTACAGCAATCGAACAAAACCTAATGTTAAAAAGTCAAGGGTCAAGAGCCCAACTAATGCAAACACTGACCACTATAATGTGTGTGTGTGTGTGTGTTCATTCAGATTAAAAATACTGGATTAGGTTTAAAATACTTATGGTAATGTCATGTTAACCAATAAAATGAAAGCTAATGATTACAGACTGTAAGTTTAAGGGCGACCAATCTATTATCATATAGGTGAGAAATGCAAATATATCTTGGGTGTGAAAAAGTCCCCCACTTATTATGCATGACTGTATTTTAGTATGTAAGGAGTTTATATAGGGAAAACTTGTATATATAGTTAGTTAATAGTAGGAATTGGTCGCTAAGCTAAAGTGTGACCGGTTTGGGAACTGTAAAAGAAGATTTATACAGTCACTGTGGGGATGTTTTACATACACCTTGCAGATTCTGTAAGCAGAATTTCTTGAAATTATCTCGCCATTATGAACATCAGTTATATAATCCAGGTCTTCTGAGATCATAAAATATCTTTATGTCCTATGGACTTTTTTTTAATAGTTGTAGTTCAACTTCAGTAATATTGAAACTGTATAAAATAACTCTAAATCCTGTCTGTGATTTTCTCCTTTAGTGATTCTGCTTGTTAACATCAGGTGTCTTCAATGACGGTCAATCATCACTTAATTAATCAGCTAATTATCTCAATAACTTTAACACTGCTTCAGTGTTACATTTATCACTCTTGAGTGTGGACTTAAATAAACTTCCGGGAGAATTCATTTAACATTGGGCTTTTTGCTGTAATAAACATTCTTCTGCTCATCTGCTTTATTCACTTACGGGCAGATGAGCACCTTTATCATGCTGAAATTATGTCGCATTTAATAAAATGTAATAAAATGACTCCTAATTACAGTCCATAAAAATGGTATGGTAAGGTAATCTTGACATCTGTTCATAAAGAAACTGAAAATCTGTATACATTATCAATATGTAAGACTTTACGGTCACTGATGAGTCAGCATCTCCATTAACTGGGGTGTTGCTACAATTGAGCCCATGCAACTGCATACACACATTGTTGGGCGGACCGTGGGTTGGTCGGACATCCTTTAGGTGCATGCCAATTGCCCTCCTGAAGGAGCTTTTATGCAAATCACATTCTGATGCAAACAAGTTGGATTTGAGAATATTTCCAAATCAGCTCAAACTGTTGAATTAAACTTGCTAGACAAGTCATGGGATGTAAGAACAGCAAAGAAGGATGTGAGAAGTGCATGGAGACTTGCAATAAGAAATGCAGCTGCAGCTGTCATGAAACCACCAGTGAATTTGAGGAAGAGGCTTGGTGGTATCCTGAAAGAACGAGCTACGTGGAGGATGCAGGTTCACCATGTAACGAAAACACAGGTTACATCGAAGATGCCGGTTCAGCGTGTCACGAAAACACCAATTACGTTGAGGATGCGAACTCGGCATGTAACGAAAACACAGTTGACATTGAGGAAGTAGTTTCGGCGTCTATAACCTGTATGGACTTTATGACTTCATTATGGGATTTCCTGCAAGCATGTACTGAATGCGTTTCACAAATGTGAGTGACGATTCATTTAAATTCTCTATCATTGCTAAAAGGTGACTTTCTTTCCAGACTGTCCAACTTTAATTAAAATGTGCAAAATGTGAGTCTAATAAGTGATACTGAGTTTTGCAACAGGCCATTTATGAGTAACTTGGAACATATAAGAAATACAAATAAGAATATAAAATATAAGTAATATGAAAATACAATATGAATTGTAGCCTGATTCCAGTTTTATCTTAAATTATTCTGTAAATGATGTGTGTGTGTGTGTGTGTGTGTGTGTAAGAAAACATTTAGACCACACTGCAATAAATAAATAAATAAAAAGTAATTAAATAATACTAATACTACTAATACTACTACGACTACTACTACTACTACTACTGCTAATAATAATAATAATAAAGATAAAAAGGTAACATACTGTTTCCCATAAAAAGAGAGAACAGACGAAAATAACAAAAATGAGAAAACAACAAAGTGACTGAGTCTTGTTTCTCTTTGATATAATACAATTTTTTTATGATTTTTTTTTTTTTAAACTGACAAGGGTCCCCGATAAAGTTTTGCTTAGTGCCACCAGCAGTCTAAGACCAGTACTGGTTCAAAGTCACATTAACATGTGCACACACAAATTTATATCTCATTTCTGACTATACGTATCCAATTTTAGGATTTGAATCAACTTTTGATTCCCAGCTCTACATCTGACCCGCAGGTCATGTTATACATTTTTTTGAGGAAATAAGAACCAACATTTAAAGACAAGATTTTATTTTTATGAAAGGTGGAAGCCATTGTCACATTTGACAATCAAGTGTATTTTTCTTTATCCACAAACCAGTTCACAGGACAAATTTCCTTAACAGGTAGAGAATAAACAAATTAGCAGTGGAGATATGAGCCTAAGTCCATTGTTTCCACCACAAATTAAAATTCAAAAACAAATGCATACCTAACGATTGCTCACATGTCCCGTTCCTATAAAGTGCATTTTCAGAGACCTCCCACAGCGTCATGTAATTCATGATCAGGTTTTTAACAGTTATAACCCAGTGACTCCACATGGACTGTGATGGCTGCTGTAACGTTGGCAGCTGCTGGTAATCATTCACTAGTTTTTTCTCAGCTTCCCAACATTCCCTTCTTAACTTCCTCAGTAAAATGGACATTTTGAGTCTCATCCATCCCTCAAACTCGGTTAATTGACTCATATTGTAAAAATAATAGAAAATGTGCACATGCAGTTCTAAGGGTTATTTATGTTACAGTTTAAATACAGAAATGCTGTGGAAGATGGCATGATTTCAAACTGGGGTATTCCTCTGAAATCAGGTCAGTATGTTATGAAGTTTTTCTTTTGTGGACATGATAGAGAGAGATAAAATTGCAGTTATTATTATCATTTATTATTTTGTTAATTAAGATATTTGTAACAAAATACACTAAAATAATACAGGAATATGTAGTTATGTTTTAACAAAAATTCAAGCCACATGAGAATACATATTCACTTTAACTGCCTTCCCTTCCACCTAAAAACATATTCATATGTTGTATGAGCATATGATTAAAGTAATATACTGCACTGTAAAAAAAATGGTTCCTTGCAGAAGAAACAGTCAGCTTTCTGAGCTTAATAAACACAAATATAATTGTGCAAGATTTCATAAATTCATAACTTTACAACTAAACAATCATGATGCCATCCAAAGTTCATTCATTTCCCTTTACCATGCACACATGACATAGTTTATAGGTTTTCCATTTGCCAACATTTACTTGAAATCATTTTAGTTTGATTATTCTTAGGAATCTGTAAAAATAGGCTTTTCATCCTCCACCAAGAAAAACCTACATGTAAAAAAAAAAATAATAATAATAATAGATTATGAGGTTTACATCAATACAGCTATAAAATAAGTAACTCGCATAACATGTTTATACAGAGGAACAGTCATCTAATGAATGGAGCGACATAGTTTATAGGTTTTCCATTTGCCAACATTTACTTGAAATCATTTTAGTTTGATTATTCTTAGGAATCTGTAAAAATAAGCTTTTCATCCTCCACCAAGAAAAACCTACATGTAAAAAAAAAAAAAATAATAATAATAGATTATGAGGTTTACATCAATACAGCTATAAAATAAGTAACTCGCATAACATGTTTTTACAGAGGAACAGTCATCTAATGAATGGAGCTTGTCTGAGCTTGACACAATAAAATATAAATGTTTTAAGTTTACAGTAAAATATAATTGTATAGTTTAACAGTTTTATTTGTATATTTTTTTTACTAGCATTAATTCCATATTCAGCTTTAATATTAAGTAACAAAAAATATTAGTATGTAAACATATTTTTGCCCTCCACCAAAAATAATCTTGAGTGTGAATAAAATAGTTACTTATTTTACATCAGTAATATTGACAGCTGTAATATTAAGAATCATGTATAACATACTTTCATATCATTTGCAGAAAGAAGCTGAGATTATAGGTCAATTCACACTGAACCAACAGACGGCAACAGAAATGTTTGTTGCTTATGCCTGATCAGTGTATTACCGCTGTCTGCATCTGGTGTTGGTCTTGTTTTTGCCAACTGAACTGCAGAATAAAATGTTTGTTGGGTCGTGGAATATCTGAGGAGTGAGGTACTGTAATCTGGTGATTGTCCACATTGGTCAGCGTGTATCATTGCAATGTGAACTGGCCTGTATAATAATAGTACTTTCTATTTCCTGAACCCTTGAATGCATAAATGGGGTCATAAAACATTAGGCAAAAAAAAGTACACAACACACTCCACAGCTCACATGATAATGCTAAATTGGCGGCGGATGTAGTACATTCAGATTGCATTCATACTAATCACATTCATGTCTGATGATATTTCACTCATACTGTACACATGTATACTTTTTTAACAGTCATGAAGTTCTCAAATGTACAAGCTATTCAGACAGTATGTGATTTCAGATGCAGTAGATGAGTAGAGAAAGGCCACAGCAAAGGACAGCTGACGGCCCAAACAAAGGAAGAGGTTTAAACTCATATGCTTAGAAAGCTGCAAATCTGATGAGAGATGTTGTCTCTGCCTCAAAAGATAATTTTCACATGGTCTGTGAGAAATGTGGAGAGTGAAGGTTCAGTTGAGAATATACTTTAGATCTAAATTAGTTTGGAATTTGTTTAGGAAAAGTACAACTGCATTAAAAAAAAACCCTCTTCTTTTTACATTCATATATAAAAGTGGACAAATAAAGATGTTTGATATATTAAAACATTTGTACCATCAATTGTTTTAGATATTTCAATAAGTCACCTATTTTTCTTTTTCATTCATTCCATTTTGACCCCCTTTATGCATTTGTGCTGTTTTTTGGTTCATGCATTTTAAGGTTAACATGATGTTGTGTTCCTCAGTGTTTTTTGGGACACTTTTGATGCTGTTGAGTTTGAGTCCACAGCAAAGACATCTGAAGAACTTTGTGTACTGCTGTGTAACCTGGACAGGAATGAGACAAGAGGAGCTGAGTGACTTCATGAGATCAATTTAACCTCTGAAACTCATGAACAAGAATGGAGTTTGTTTATAATAAATGTTTAAATAATGTATAATGTTTAAAGAGACTAGAGTTGAATTTCTGAAGTAAATATTGAAGCTTTACTTTTCTTTCATATACTGTCTCTGGACAGTATTTTTTTCTGAAACAGAAAAAAAAGATGTGAAATTCTGATGTTGGCTTGAGAAAGCCGGGCCTAAATGTTTGAGATACTTTTAAAAGTTTGGAGTTTGAAAGGAGTAATGCTATGCAGACAGACAGCAGATCAAAGGCATTCTGTGTTTGTTTAAATTATAATTTTTGACAGTCGGAGTTTGAAGATTCTTGGTTCATTTGAACATTCCGTCACAGGAAGGAAATGGAACAGTAACAGATTAAACAAACTGACATTCTTTTCTAAAAGTCACAGATTACCACAACAGAAACAGAACCTCAGTGAAAACAACTGTAAAAGTGTTTCATGTCCGGATTTCTTATGGAATATGATGGTAAAATGAGTAAAGGTCTGACCTCACTATTGAGGACACAATAAATCAGGAAGATGAAGATTCAAGATCAGGAAGAGGAGCTCCAGCTCCTTACTGACATTAGTGAAGAAACCCAGAATCCAGGAGCAACCAAGAACCACAAACTGAGCCAGAGTTGAAAGACTATTTCATGTTAACTTTTTAATTTTGTATGCAACGTTGGATTTTTATCAGATAGCAGAAAGGTTACATAAGCCCTGAGCAGTTTTATTTCCTTCTTAAAAAATAAAATAAAATAAACTCACTCTTCCCTGTTGTAGCCTTCAGGTCCCAGCACAACGCAACCTCGCATCCAATCACGCAGAGGACTCCACTTATAAAGGGCAAAGGTCAACAGAGCCAAACTGATGAACACCAGTCCCACGATCACACACACCAAAATCACCAGATGTGAGTCACTCTGAGAAAACATGTGAGAGAACATGAGTGCCAAATCTGTGCTGTTCTTAGTGTTCACTAGAAATGTTGATCATCAACTGTAGATTGAATTTGAATTATGCTAGTGCGTTCAATGCTTCAATATTTTGAGGAGGTTTGACTTGTTCTCTTTCGCACCTCTGACTGATGGCTGGTTTGTATGAGAGCGAATGTCGACAGATGATGACAGGAACACACAGTGTAGCTGCTGTTGGTCTTTAAAACAGAACAACCATCTACAATCCACTCGCTGATATTCCAGTACACACAGAACAGAGAACCGCTGGGATCAAACTCCTGCAAAAACAAGAAGAAAATATCAGAACACTGAATATTAGATGTTTTCAGATGTTCATCAGTGCTCTGATAAAACACAAGCACATTTCAGTCTCTCACTCTGATGTGTTTGAGGGTGAAGTTGACTGGTTTGGTGAGTTCAGTGTTGGTGGTTTTGGGAAGAGTAGCTGAGATCACAGTGGACATCATGGTGTTAACCGTGTCTTTTGATGTGTTGAAGAAGTCTGGCTTCAGTAGATTCTCCATCGCGTTGTAGCTCATGAAAGCCACAGCAGCTGATCCTGTGAGACAGAAACAGAAACTACGGTATATGCAATACTATGTAAAACAATAAAAAAAAAGTAAATATGGTTTAGTGGTAAAGGTATGAATCTCTATTTTTTATTTATTTTTTTGTTCACACTGAAACATTTGACATACTTTCATGGTTGTTCCTGGCGATCCCAATGAGATCGATGTCCACAGCAGAACTTCTTGTTTTAAGTCGAGGGATTTTCTCTAAGGTGACCTGTGGTCCAACCATGAAGACTTCTATCTCTGATTAAACACAAGAGCAAAACCCTGTAATTGATTACCACAATAAACTGCACTGACTTTCTGTTTTTCTCCTTTGAGTGTTTGGTAAACGTATTGTGAATGTTGACTGATCTTATGCTCAAAGCAGCAGATATTCACATAAAAACCCTGAGGTCTCCATAAACTTCACTGTAAGTGAACCTGTGTTTAATGTTGCATTTTTGTTTCTCATGGCTTTTCAGGATGAGGGTTTTTCAAGACATTTCTACCTAATGATGGATGAAATAGCACCAAAACACTGACCTTTGACATCAACACGAAAAATATACAGGCAGGGCTTTCTGTTAAAACATTTGTTACTCTACACAATTATAGAGTTACTGTATCTGCATTTATAATTTTTTGCTGTCTGACCCACCGCTGCTCAGGGGTTTTCAAACCTGTCCTGGAGGGCCCCCAGCCCTGCACATTTTGTATGTCTCTCTTATCAGACACTCCCAATTCAGGTCTTGCAGTCTCTGCTAACGAGCTGATGAGTTTAATCAGGTGTGTTAGATGAGGGAGACATACAAACAGGACTAGAGGTCCTCCAGGACAGGTTTGAAAACCCCTGCTCTAGACCATAAAAAGCCACTGACATCAAATCTGTGTTTCATCATCAATAATAGTAATTGTGTCTCCACTTACCTACAGCAGCAAAAGTAAAACTGACACGGTTACTTGTGTCTGTCTGCTTCACTAATGTAGAAATGAGTTTCTCGCTGGCTTTTAACACACTGTTTCCATAAGAGGCTAGTTCAGCTGGGTTTACTGATGATGACTCTAATATCTTCTCTGAAGTGTTGAAGACCACAGTCAAAATGCTCATCACAGTCTATTGATCAGATAAATAGTTTATGTACATGTAAATATCAAGAGAGCCATTAAAACAGCACTGCTATGTTAATCATCTATTATATTGATTTGATTCAATTATTTATTGTTATTTATCTTGAAGACTTACAGTCACAGGGAGCTCTTGAGCTGCACTGTTCTCTATCTGCTCAAGAAGATTTTGAAGACATCCTTCTGAGGTCTGACTCTGAAATCACAATTGAGCTTTACAAATAAAACTGAAAGACTCATAACAAAAAAAAAAAAAATTCAGCTTACCCTGCATTGATCCGGCAGTGCGATAATCAGATCTGACATGAGGGAATTCATCAATACAACATGAATACAGTAAAATCAAACTCCACATTCAGGTCTAGAAACACGCTCACCTGCAATAGTTGTGAAGATGTTAGTCTCACAGAAACAGGAGGACAAAGTGCTACTGTAGCATGTACAGGTGTCCTTATTACCAAAGCAGTAACAGTTATTACCCCAGCATTCATATTGGTTTTGGTTTCTATATATCCAGTAGTAGAAATAATGCATTCTTGTATTGCAGAACATGCGGTACTGAGCACCAGTGCAGATGTAAGTGTCGTTATGAAGCCCACAGTCATAGACTGGACTAACTGCTGCAGGAATAGTGATGCTACTGCTGTTATTTGTACAGAAGCAGGAGGATGAAGTGCTACTGTAGCATGTACAGGTGTCCTTATTACCAAAGCAGTCACAGTTATTACCCCAGCATTCATATTGGTTTTGGTTTCTATATTTCAAGTAGAAGAAATGATTCATTCTTGTGTCGCAGTAGATGCGGTACTGAGCACCAGTGCAGATGTATATGTCATTATAAAGCCCACAGTCATAGACTGGACTAATAGCTGTAGTGAGAGCAGTGATATTTCCATAAGTATTACAGAAGCAGGAGGACAAAGTGCTACTGTAGCATGTACAGGTGTCCTTATTACCAAAGCAGTAACAGTTATTACCCCAGCATTCATATTCATATTGGTTTTGGTTTTTATATTTCCAGTAGTAGAAATTATGCATTCTTGTGTCGCAGTACATGTGGTACTGAGCACCAGTGCAGATGTAAGTGTCGTTATAAAGCCCACAGTCATAAACTGGACTAACTGCTGCAGGAATAGTGATGCTACTGCTGTAATTTGTACAGAAGCAAGAGGATGAAGTGCTACTGTAGCATGTACAGGTGTCCTTATTACCAAAGCAGTAACAGTTATTATTTAAACAGTAGTAATGGTATCTATCATAATCGAAATCATGTACACTTGTGTTGCAATACATGTGGTACTGAGCACCAGTGCAGATGTACAGGTCATTATAACGCGCACAGTCATAGACTGGACTAATTGCTATAGTGAGAGCAGTGATATTGCCATAAGTCTTACAGAAGCAGGAGGACAAAGTGCTAGTAGAGCATGTACAGGTGTCCCTATTACCAAAGCAGTCACAGTCATTATTCACACACAGGTACTGGTATTTGTACTGAGATCTCTGGTAGGAGAAGTCATGCATATGTGTGTTGCAGTACATGCGATACTGAGCACCAGTGCAGATGTACATATCATTAAGACGCACACAGTCAGGGTCTGTAACTGAACTAACTGCTGTAGTGAGAGCAATGCTATTGTTGTAAGTCTCACAGAAGCAGGAGGACAAAGTGCTACTGTAGCATGTACAGGTGTCCTTATTTCCATTGCAGTAACAGTTATTACTAATGCAATGGTATTGGATTTTGCTCTGATACCTCAAAAAGTACAAATTATGCATTCTTGTGTTGCAGTACATGTGGTACTGAGCACCAGTGCAGATGTACGTGTCGTTATAAAGCAGACAGTCAGGGATTGTGACTTGATTGCGTAATGAAGAGATAGTGATATTATAGCCATAATTTGTACAGAAGCAGGATGAAGTATGACTGTAGCACCAACAGGAGTCCTTATTAAAATGGCAGTAACAGTCATCACTCCAGCATTCGTACAGGTATTGGTTTTGGTACTGATGTCTCCAGAAGCTAAAATAATGCACCGTTGTGTTGCAGTACATGTGGTACTGAGCACCAATGCAGATGTACGTGTCATTCTTAAGCTCACAGTCCAAGACGGGTCTAACTGCTGTAGGGACTATGATGTTATTGCTAAATATATCACAGAAGCAGGACGAAGTATTATAGTAGCATGCACAGGTGTCATTATTACCAACACAGATACAGTCATTACTCATGCAGTGGTATTGGTGTTGGTCTTGGTCTCTCTGGTAGTAGAAATGATGCATTCTTGTGTTGCAGTACATTTGATACTGAGAACCGCTGCAGATGTACGTTTCATTATAAAGCACACAGCCATAAGCTGGACTAACTGCTGCTCTTGGTTCAGCAGCAGTAGTGGATATGAAACCTGAGGATGAGAAAGATGGGATCAAAGTCAGAAAACACAAATACCAAACCAGGTGAATTTCCAGCATGTTTAGCACATTTAAAATAACGTGAAACACATGAGTTTACACTGTTTTACATGCATTTATCAATACTGAGTTTTGTCTTTCAGCAGTTAGCAAAAATGCAGGTTCTGTGGACTACACTGTTCATGTGTTTTGATATGTTGTATCAATCCTTTAAAATGCATTCAATTATTGCTAACTATTTCATTTAGACGTGTATGCATTTGGAAGTGAGATTAACTGGTCTGTTTATTTGCATCATTATACTTGTTTTAAGAGTTTTACAATGACTAAGTACTAAGAAATAAATGTAACCAATGGTATAAAAAATGTTATAAAGTTCACAGGGTCAACAGACCCATGTGTTTGAAGAAAACTATCAGCTTGCACTCACACAGGGTTAAAGAGATGACAGTCAACAGTGACCATACACCACCTGGCATAAAAAAGACACATTTTAAAATGTTTTTTTTCTACTATGATAATTTATTCACATTACACGCAAATATTAAATGTTTTTCAAAGCAGATCTTTTGGACTGACATGTGCACCAAAAATGCTATTATTTTCAATAATCAGAGTAAGGACTTAATCACAATAAGACACAAGCAAGCTCTTTACTCAACCTAAAAGTTGACTGTTTACTATTGTCCTCTTTTTAGAGCTGCTCTACAGCAGAATTTAATTTTGTTTTATTAACACACACTATTTTCATGATAAAGTTGCTTTGACACAATCTGTATTGTACAATCTATATTGTACCTTATTTACACATGACACTGCTCCACTGATCATATACTGGTTACTCCACTACACACCTCGGATCACTTCCTTCTCACTCTTAACCTCAACATGGTTCCTGACACAACACATACCCCTACACATGTCACTTTTCGACGTAACCTACACTCTCTCTCACCCTCCCGGCTATCTGCTATGGTTTCATCTTTGCTTCCTCCCCCTAAACAGTTATCATTTCTTGATCTACTCCACTGCACACCTCGGATCACTTCCTCCTCACTCTTAACCTCAACATGGTTCCTGACACAACACATATCCCTCCACATGTCACTTTTTTCACTCTCACCCTCTTAGCTTTCTGCTGTGGTTTCATCTTTGCTTCCTCCCCCTAAACAGTTATCATTTCTTGATGTTAACAGTGCTACTGATACTTTCTGCTCCACTCTTACATCTTATTTAGACACTGTCTGCCCCCTATCTTCCAGAAAAACCCGTACCACCCCTTCTGCCCCTTGGCTGTCTGATGTTCTCCACGAACATTGTTCTAAGCTTAAGGCTGCTGAAAGTGTATGGTGCAAATCAAAAAATCCTGCTGACCTTATCCAGCATTTATACCTGCGCTCACTCACATCGTTAATACATCCCTTCACACTGGTGTTTTTCCCTCAGCATTTAGACAGGCTCGTATAAACCCTCTACTTTAAAAAACCCACCCTTAACCCTTCTCATTTAGAGAACTACAAACCGGTTTCCATTGCAAAAACACTTGAACAAGCTGTGTTCAACCAAGTCTCTGCCTTTCTCACACAGAACAACCTCCTCGACAGCAACCAGTCTGGTTTCAGAAGTGAACATTCAACCGAGACAGCCTTGCTCTCAGTTGTTGAAGCCCTAAGACTGGCAAGAGCAGATTCCAAATCTTCAATACTTATCTTGCTGGATCTGTCCGCTGCTTTTGACACAATTAACCACCAGATCCTCCTGTTAACCCGATTGGCAAAGAGCATCTCAGGAACCGCACTCCAGTGGTTTGAGTCTTACCTCTCAGATAGGTTCTTTAAGGTATCTTGGAGAGGTGAGGTGTTCAAGTCGCAGCATCTAACTACTGGGGTGCCTCAGGGCTCAGTTCTTGGACCACTTCCCTTCTCTGTCTACATGGCATCACTAGGTTCTGTCATTCAGAAACATGGCTTTTCATATTATCCAGGCTGGACTATTGCAATGCTCTCTTGGCAGGTCTTCCAGACAGTTCTATCAAACCTTTACAATTAATTCAGAACACGGCAGCAAGAATAATTTTAAATGAGCCGGAAAGAACGCATGTCACACCTATGTTTATCAATTTGCACTGGCTACCAATAGCTGCTCGCATTAAACTCAAGGCATTCATGTTTGCCTACAAAACCACCACTGGTTCTGCACCCCTTTACCTAAATTAAATACTTCAGACTTATGTGCCTCTAGAAGCTTGCATTCTGCAAGTGAACGTTACTTTATTGTGCCATCCCAAAGAGGCACAAAATCACTTTGATCAAATGTTCCCTGGTGGAATGACCTGCCCAGCTCAATCCGAGCAACTGAGTCCTTAGCCATCTTCAAGAATCGGCTTAAAACACATCTCTTCCATCTTTAATTGACCCTCTAAATCTAGCACTCTCTATTCTAATTATATTCTTAAAAAAGCTTGCTCTATTATTTTTCTATTCTATTCTATGTTTTATTTTTAATTATTATATAATTAAAAAAAAACTTGCTATGTGTACTGCATTAAGCTAACTGAGACTTGTTATAGCACTTGCATATCATAGCTCTCTTGTTGATTTTGATTTCTTCCATTGTCCTCATTTGTAAGTTGCTTTGGATAAAAGCATCTGCTAAATGACTAAATGTAAATATAATGTAAATGTATAAAGCACTATATAAATAAAGGTGAAGACTCCTGTTTACATGCAAGTTTCATTATTCTGATTATGAACTAAAGTGTGCTCATTTTTACTGTAATTTGCAAACCCAAAGTACAAATGATGAACTTACATACAGTTGGTGTGTTACTGACCACTGTTTTAATCTACTTACATCTAATGCAAAACACATTTCTATGGACATATTGGAAGGTTGTTTGGCGATGTGATGAACATCGCAATGCTTCCGTTATTGGGTTGCATTCGTGTTCTTCGCACTGTCTCTGGATTAAGATACAGAGCTAAGACTGCACAGTGAGTTTTATTGACAGAGTTTAATAATTTGGATTGGAGGAAAACAGTTCTGAATAAAATCACAGATTAATAATTTATTAATCATTTATTCATGTTTTTGCCATACCCAATTTAAAGTGGAGACTATTCATCATTTTAAAGTGGAGACTATTCATCAGACAGGAGGTTAAAGAGCTGGCTGTCTGGTGCAGTCTTGTTATATTACATCCCTACTGTGTTATTCCTATGTATGTCTGCACTATCATGTATGTCTGCACTATGTTTGTACTTTCTTCTACACTGGAAGCTCCTGTCGTCAAGTCAAATTCCTTGTGTGTGTAAACATACTTGGTAATAAAGCTCTTCTGATTCTGAATAAAGCTCTTCTGATTTGCAAATGTTTATAAACATTTACACATTTTTTAGTATCTTTATTGGCACTGGACTTTATCTACTGTAACAACGTTTGTGCTTGGTAAAGACATATCACACATTGTAATTTGGGTGCAAAGCATTTTTCTGTTTTTATCACCTCAACACTTATATTAGTATACTATTGTTGTGTATCATTAAACAGAATATTCCTTCAGATGCTGTCACTTCCCACAACCTCATCATCTGCAGACAGTGGCAAAGCCAGAGGGGTTTCCCAAATTTTCATTTGCTACTGGCAGTTTGATGATTGACATTTTATTTCACCTCATGAAAGTACAGAGTTATACAGCACACCGTTAATGTATATTAATGCTGAATATTAAGAGAATATTAGGTGGTTGCAATATACAGAAGAATACGTTTAAGAGCAGAGCATGGTATCGTGCATGGTATTGATGAAACTGTTATGAACAATACATTATAAATAAATAATATTCACATGGTTTATATATATATATATATATATATATATAATCTGTGTGTGTGTGTGTGTGTGTGTGTGTGTGTGTATGTGCGTGTGTGTGTGTGTGTGTGTGAGCTGAAACTCACACAAAAAAACATATCAGTCTCTTTCAAGAAAATAATTAATGTATTCTTTTAGCCAAAGCTTAGTCATTTGTCATATATTTATTTCTCAGTCAGTACTTAAAATACACAATCAAATTTTTCTAAATCAAAACGGGAAAAGAAAATGACTTATTTTTAAATATAATGAACACCATTATGGAATCTGACAGTCCACTGTGTTCAATATTTATTCAGCAAACCAGATCAGGCATTGATTTTCTGAAATTAAATAAGAGACAAAAAAAAACTCAAATTAGCCGTGATGAGGAGAGCAAGGAACGTAGTAACATGGCATGAGGGTGTGACACTGTCGGTTTAACCAAAATGTGCTACGGTGTGAAATTACTATCACACTCTATAATCTAGATAAACAGCACCCGTCTGGTGACAGAAAAAGTTACGTATGTTCGT